AAGATTATTTCAGATAATGTTTTTTTTTATTCATTTTTTGTGGTAATTTTAGGAACCATGAGCAGGACCTTGTGTCAGTTCTTCTAAATATAGTGTTATTCATGAAAATCTAGGTCTCTGATATATATCACAGATGCATCTACCATGAACATAACAAAACTGATCACAACAGTGAAACAGGACAAAGAAATGTTCTCTGCAGAATTCCAAAGTATAAATCTGGACTTTAAATTCAGTATTTATACTAAACAGTCCTAAGAAAAGATCTAAAATGGAAATGAAAAGAAACAGAAAATCTTCTAGAGGAGACGGAATTGCGTGCATTACTAAAGACTCACTTAGGCTGAAGTGATCAGAGGCAAATCTTCTGGGGGAAAAAAATAACAACATGTCTCCAGTTCTTTCTTCTTTGGGTTTCCCAGGGTTTCTAGTCATGTTTTGTGCCTTTTTTTTTTACAATATGCTAATACAAAAATAGTTTAGAAAAAGCAGACTGGTGTGCCTATCTAATTTTATCTATTGTGATTCTGTCTCTTGAACAGTATGTTACAGAATCAGTGCTGTAAACTTGTTCATAATGGATATTCAAATTCAAGGTATGTTGCTGGCAATAAAGAAATAAATGCCCAGCTCTTTGCCATTTTCTCTCCTTGGCATTATTAGAGCTGAATTTCTCTTAAGCCACATGTTCTTTTGGTGGTGTAAGAAAATTCTTCAAGGTAATTTACTCTTCCTTCACAGATTTAGTCTTTTTCAATATTGAACACCATTAAAATGAAGAAAGACTGCAAAGCAGAATAGGAAACGTCTCCCTTGGAAAGCTTAATTATATTGTATAAAATTCAAAGACATCCAAAAGAAGCACCATCTTAGAGGCTACTATATAGCATGTGTGGGAGGATGCATACACTTCTGTTTGTTAAAGCAAAAGTCATAGCTTAGGACAAGATCTAATTAAGAATTTTAGTCCCAGTAAAGAACACTTAGAACTAAACACTGCATGCTGCACCTACTCACAATTACACTTCAAACCAGAAGCTGCAAGACAAATAAACGCTTCAAAGAGGACCACAAACAGAGAGCATGCTAAGGGAGAAAACATATGGAGATAACCTATAGGAATAATTAGGAAAGTGATATTTTGAAATCCAAGTCTCTGTGGAACTAATGTATCTCCAGCAGAGCTGAAGATAAGTTTCTCCTCTCATTTCACTTCCTAATTACCAAGTATAAATACCTATCCTCCACAAAAAACAAACAAATATAACAAAAACAAAGCAATCTGAGTACAACTCACATTTCCTAACTAAGAAATATTGTGGACGCAACCCTGTTTTCTGAGGCACCTGATGTTTCTGAAATGAGGTAACGTGTATGTCTTAGGGCATATCAGTTTGTGGCAGTTCTAGGCAACTTTGAAAGCAGAAACATAAATATTTAGGAAACTTTAAGATGGAAGAAAAAAAATATCCAGAATTAGGAGGTACTTAAGGAACGTTCCTGTTTTGGACATCCGTGATATTCGGTTTGCGTCCTGTTCTGTTAGCATCTTTTAACTTATTTTTATTAGTTCTACAGTTAATAGACAAAATGAGTCAGAAATCCTACTCTATTCCTGTGGCTTCTGAGGCCAAATTCCACCTCTGCACATCATGCGACACACGCAACCGAGTCATCCTTTAAACATGGAAGTAGGTGAATCATTAGCTGGAGGTCAAACAGAGAAAATCCACAAACTTGTTGCTTGCGACTACTCTCTCCTTACTCCACAGTGGACTTAATTCTAAATTCAGTGTTAAATTCAGGGATAGATCTTTCAAAGCTCACTGTTTGGTGGACTGAGAGACTAATCTGCTCCAGCTGAGCCTAGCTACTCCCTCTCTTTACTCTAAAGACAGACACCTGTGGCACATCTTTTGCACTGGAAAAATGTGCCAGCCACTTGCTAGCTACTGACTGGGTCATGCGCACCTTGTCAAAAAGTGATCTATTTCATGTAAGATGTATAGATAGAAAATTACACTGTTCCGGCAAAAAAAAAAAAAAAAAAGCAATCGTTTTATTCACTGGACACATGCTGTCTTGAGGAAAGTTCAATTTGTAACAGTAGTTAATCATTCACAAACAAAAGAATAGAGTTTTAAAAAATAACTCATTTGTTCCTCACAGCAGAGGATTAAGACATGGTGTACTGGATAACTGGTACAAAATACACTATGGAAGTAATTTTCTTTTGCATGTTCTCTGGAAAACTCTTTTATCACTTTTTCATTCCACAGTAGAGAACTATGATGCTTTCCCTGCCTTCGTACTTCAGAAACAAAAACTCTTATGTGGAACAGTCTGCTCTCAACATAATCTTTCCAAATCATGAATAGCAGCTCTTATTTCAGGGGCACTTTTTTTTGCTGCAGTCCAGCTAGGCTGGATGTCTCCCACTTGAGTACCTGGCTTGCATCACAAATGCTCATTTATGTATTGCAAACTCCACGTCACCAGTAAGAACAACAGATTCCCCTCTGGATTGTGTGGTAGGAGTTAGTTTGACTCTTGTGAGGTTACATGTGCAGCCTGGTAAACAGCACCAAAGTAACTCCAGCCATTCCTTGCTGGGGCTGTTTTTCTGTACAAGCCCTTGCCGGCGATGTGTGGTTGTCCTTAGGGGAGGCAGGGGACATCTTGCCACGACCAGGGGACATCTTGTACCAGCCAGGGCCTTCCTCAGGAAGCTTAAACATATTCCAAGGGACCCTCGGCTCCTGTTACACACGCATTATAGACTTACATATAGAGTTTTACATCTGATTTACAATGTGTGCTATGTAATGAGTGCATACTGTTTGCAACAAGATCCTATCTCAAAATCAGAAGTTCGAAAAAAATCATACTGGAAAATTTTATTGCTCCTCTTTGAAATCCACCTTTTAAGGTGCTGTCCCCTAACTACAGGCCGCGTTGCGGAGCGACGCCGAGACCGCGGCCTCCCCTCTCCGAGCGCGCCCTCACACCGCCGCGGCCTAGCG